ATTAGAATATTATTATGTCAAGATGGGTGGCGCATTTACGTTGTAGATGTCTATGGGCTCCAGTAACCACTTAACACCAGGTGGGCTGTGAGCTCGTCCACTCATCTCAGTAATAAAAAAAAACACCGTGGGGAGGAATTCATTCCTTCTTGTCGAACCGCTCTTTTCGGTATCGAGTCGAGGGAACCCGCTCCTCCCCACGACCTCTCACAGCAGGAGTCCCGCAAGGCTCTGTCCTCTCACCCCTCCTATTTAGCTTATTCGTTAACGATATTCCCCGGTCGCCGCCGACCCATTTAGCTTTATTCGCCGACGACACGACTGTTTACTATTCCAGTAGAAACAAGTCCCTAATCGCGAAGAAGCTTCAGAGCGCAGCCCTAGCCCTAGGACAGTGGTTCCGAAAATGGCGCATAGACATCAACCCAGCGAAAAGTACTGCGGTGCTATTTCAGAGGGGAAGCTCCACACGGATTTCCTCCCGTATTAGGAGGAGGAATCTCACACCCCCGATTACTCTCTTTAGTCAATCCATACCCTGGGCCAGGAAGGTCAAGTACCTGGGCGTTACCCTGGATGCATCGATGACATTCCGCCCGCATATAAAATCAGTCCGTGACCGTGCCGCGTTTATTCTCGGTAGACTCTACCCCATGATTTGTAAGCGGAGTAAAATGTCCCTTCGGAACAAGGTGACACTTTACAAAACTTGCATAAGGCCCGTCATGACTTACGCGAGTGTGGTGTTCGCTCACGCGGCCCGCACACACATAGACACCCTTCAATCTCTACAATCCCGCTTTTGCAGGTTAGCCGTCGGAGCTCCGTGGTTCGTGAGGAACGTTGACCTACACGACGACCTGGGCCTCGAATCTATACAGAAATACATGAAGTCAGCGTCGGAACGGTACTTCGATAAGGCTATGCGTCATGATAATCGCCTTATCGTAGCCGCCGCTGACTACTCCCCGAATCCTGATCATGCAGGAGCCAGTCACCGTCGACGCCCTAGACACGTCCTTACGGATCCATCAGATCCAATAACCTTTGCATTAGATGCCTTCAGCTCTAATACTAGGGGCAGGCTTAGGGACCCCGGTAACCGTACTCGTCGAACTCGACAAAGAGGTCGACGTGCAACCTAACCCATGCATCAGCCCGCTGAGTTTCTCGCCGGATCTTCTCAGCGGGTCGCGATTCCGATCCGGTAGTAGATTAATTCGCGAAGCAATTGCTCTTGAGTTGTTAGGTCTCCTTCGGAGGCGCTCGGGCAGTTGTTAGCTAATCCCGCCCCTCTTGGCTGAGCCTTTGCTCGCCCACCTGTCCTGGTGAAACTGGAAAGGCCTTCGGGCCACCAGTAAAGTATCAATCATAAAAAAAAAAAAAAAAAAAAAGAATTCATTCCAGAGCCGGATGGCGCGTGTCAAACCAATAATCTTCATTTTGATTATAACGAATAGTCTTTTAACTAAACTTTCGTATAAAGAGACTGCAATGTGACTGCAAGCATTATTAAAAAATATTTCATTTAAAAATTTTACATTGCAGGTTTTGGTATGACAACCATGTTAATTTTGCTAACGATGTTAATCTACCTATTACGAGTATATGTCAACTACGGGTGGGATCTAGCGAATATCAGGAACAAAATAAACTTTTACAAAATACACAAATAGCAATTATCAAACAAAAAGAATGAAAGATGAAAGGATAAGACGTCCAGTGCATTGGAGTTGCGCGATGCACCGGTGTTTGAATCCCAGGCGGGTACCAATCACTTAACACCAGGTGAGCTGTAAGATCGTCCACCCATCTAAGCAAAAAAACATACATTTTTTAAAACATATATGTTCCCATTATAGTATTTGCTAGCAAATTACTTCCAACAGAAGTAACAACATAAAAATGTTTAAACCTAGCAACCCTAGCAAACCTAGCAACAAACTACAAATTTATTTAATAAACTAGCCACCCTTAGAACCGGTATGTATCATTACCTCTTGGTAGAAAATGTAAGATAATGTATCTCTCCAATAAGGTTGAAAATTCGTCCAACCATCACAACAACAACAACTTAATCCACTCGTATCAATTTCACAAGTCCTTACACAACCATATCAATTACGGAGTCATCGTTCAATCTATTTTAAAAGATATTCCACAAACTGCATGCGGTCACGGAAGCCACTGGAATAAGCGTGACATCATTTGTTCCATTACCGTCGACCTGGCCAAGGACGCACGCGGAAAGTAGAGATTCCAAGTCGTTAGGGGATAGCGGGACTGACACGGGCTGGTACTGCAACGCTGAACTATAGTCATGGCTTTTGTTTTTTGTTTTTGTTTTAAGGTCGATAACAGTGCACGCAGACGAATGATGCTTGTCTAGAACCAGAGAGGATACTAAATACTACCGACCTGCATTACATCGTCAATCTTGGGCGTGAGGTCTATATTTTCATATAAAGAAATGGCTATTATTTAAACTAGAATAATACAGGATTGTCCCAAAACTAAAAGAGCTGACTACCCATAACACAAAGACTACCTAACCGTTTCACTTAGCTTGGAAGGTTTGAGAGTTTTAATATTGGGATAATTGGGCATTGGTTTTTTTTTGGTACATGTTGGTTTTTAATATTGGTATTCACTTAATATTCGTATTAGGGAGGTTGTTAGGATGTGGACGTTGTTCGGAAACGTGACATATCAGGAAATGATAGAATCATTGATGATTTTATCAGCTCACTCAGTGTTAAGAGGCTTTAGAGGTATTCGAGGGCAAAACATTTTGAATACTGCTGTCTGCTCTTTCAATGAGACACAAATTTGAAGTTTAAATATTAATAATCGTCCTGTTTCTTCCCTAGATGTTGGCATTAGAACAAGGTTGCTAAGCCCCATGCATGCGAACATTTGTTGAGGTCCGTAAGCAAATTGCGGCAAGAAAAACGATACTAGATTTGGCTTCATAGATTTTTGGCCTCATAGATTTTATGAGTGTCAAATCTAATTTTTGTAATAAATTAATATCGCACGTTACTAACAGAGCAACAAATTAGATGTAGCTTCCTACGTCACAGTTTATGGCGTTCTTACAAAGTTACAGTAACTGATATAATTACTAAATTATGAGTCTTTTCATTTCATTGGTTCATTGCGCTTTCTAGGCTGCCGCTTGGCTCTGGCCCTGGCATTGCTGACGTCCCTGGGCGACGGTAATCACTAACCATTAGGTGGACCGTATGGTTGTCTGCCTACAAGAACAATTAAAAAAAACTTGGTCCATTGATAGACAAAACGAGTATGCCACCTGAGTCCTAGATGTAACAAATTATGGTTGTTCCATTCTTCAAAAAAGAACGAACGACTGCTACACCTGTTCCGTAAATATGGACATGTCAACGTTATCTAATTTTGCTCATGGAACTTGTTAGTTAAGTTATGGGTAAAACAAGTCCAAAATCAAAACGCTCCCTCTATCGTATCGATGTGAATAATTAACGAAAGCCATAGAGCCATTAGCGCCGATGCTACCTATGGTAAAACCCGTCATTTTTTTTAAATGACTCAGAGAAACTCCCACGCACCATGATCAACACGAAAGACCGTAGCTTTGCCAAATTTAGTCTACCGTTCGATTCGGACAAGTACCTCAGTTCAATTAGTCACTGTTCCCCATAAGAGGGTCGTCATGTGGGTGGTCTTTCAGAACATTCACTCGCATCAAGTATGCGAGAGAGGGCTTTTGTATTAATAAATGTTTATTTGATCATTTGTATTTTGACCTTACAATCATCCGGTCACGCTGAACCGAATTTGGTGTTCGAATAGAGATTTTTATGGACCAATTAAATAAATAAAGCAACATAAAAAATGGTATTTAGTAGCAGTGTTGTGCGCATGGTCTATTCGCTAAGGTATCGGCCACACTTCGACTAAACAACTCAATTCAAACGTTTCCTCTTATGGCAGAATATGCCCCTAGCTTTGATGAACTCGGCGGGCTTCTATATATTTTTTTTATTACTGAGATGGTTGGATGAGCTCACAGCCCACCTGGTGTTAAGTGGGTACTGGAGCCCATAGACATTAACGACGTAAATGCGCCACCCACCTTGAGATATAAGTTCTAAGGTCTCAAGTATAGTTACAACGGCTGCCCCACCCTTCAAACCGAAACGCATTACTGCTTCACGGCAGAAATAGGCAGGGTGGTGGTACCTACCCGCGCGGATTCACAAGAGGTCCTACCACCAGTAATTACGCTAATTATAATTTTGCGGGTTTGATTTTTATTACGCGATGTTATTGCTTCACCGTGGAAGTCAATCGTGAACATTTGTTGATTACGTATTTCATTAGAAAAATTGGTACCCGGCTGGAATTCGAGCACCGGTGCATCGCTCAACACGAATGCGCCGGACGTCTTATCCTTTAGGCCACGACGACTTCGAAAACTAAACTTAATATAAAATACTAAGTAGATTCTAGAAACTAAGAGATCTCTCAGTGGATTACAAGTGTTCATGAAGGACACCAAACGCAAAGCAATCACCTTGCAAACATCTTGAGAAATTAAGTCCGGAAATTAAATTAACTGCCCGATGGGTACCACTATCCTGTCTACTATACTCGTACTTCTGGTGGGAAGCAGTCATCCAGCTTGGTGGTTAGGACAGCGGTTACACAATAAAATGGAGAGCTCAGGCTCGTGTTGTGACGTCATTCCGTATTGTCTCTCGGCAATGGTAGCCGCAGAATACCAGACGGGCCCTGATATCTACCCGCATTAGCTAATAAATCTCAATACGAACCCAGCTAATCTGCCTGGAAGAAGTCATCCCGATTTAAGGTTAGGACAGCGGTTACACAATAAAATGGAGAGCCTGGCCTCGTGTTGTGACGTCATTCCGTATTGTCTCTTAGCAATGGTAGCCGTTGAATACTAGACTGGCCCTGATATCTACCCGCATTAGCTAATAAATCTCAATACGAACCCAGCCTTGTCTCCACTGCACAGCTGCTTTAAGAGACGTGTTACTTCACAACCTGTGGGTATCGCGTTTGGTACCTGGAACGAAGTGATATATTAAAAATTATATAATACCAAGTTAATATTTTGTTCGATGCTACTAGTCTTATTATGGAGACTTATCTATATATGTATATCTTTGTGTACAACCAATAGAGTTATAGAAATAATACATTAAGGGGAGCTAAGCGAAGACAGGCAGCGTCGCCGCGGCGGCTGTGTCCCCTGACATTGACTTTTTACAGGGTGGGTTGCGTGGTAATGTGCCCTTGGAGAATGGACTACAATATCATTAATATAATAACATTATATTGGATTCTGACCCGGCTACAATGCTGCCGATAATTTGGAACGGGATACCGATTCTTAGGTCACTAGGATCAATGATCCGATCATGACTAAATTAAAATTAGTACTTCGCAGAACAGCCTCACCGAACCAAAACCACCAGCAAAAAACGGTTCAGAATTGGCGGAAGCGTTTTACAAAGATTAAAAGAAAAAAAAACATGGACTATTGAATCGTGAAGCAGTTATTATTGTTTATGATCCCACAGCCCACCTTACGATGAGGCTACTCCAGTCCTTAGACCATATGTGAGAGGAACCAAAGTCGCAATGGCATGATGGATCCTATCATTTAACGCTGCATGTCTGCTTCGTGGCAGAACTAGTGGGGATGGTTGTACATAGCCGTGCAGGCTCATCACGTGACGATGTTATGTAAACGCATGCTGGACACAGTCGCATGATATCGATACTAGTACACTGTATATGAGTAATGTTCCTCTGTCATTAGGAAGTCAGTTTAAAAAAAAAAATATACATTTTTACAGGCTTACAATACAGTATAAAAAAAAACAATAGTACTGTTAAAAGTGACACCTTAGAACTCGTGTTTTAAGGTGGGTGGCGGCATTTACGTTGAAGATGTCAATGGGCTCCGATAACTACGTAACACCAGGTGGTCCGTGAGCTCGTCCACCCATCTACGAATAAAAAACGCACACAAGCAAAACGTATTGCTAGTATCACTAAAATCATAATTTAAGTGTAAAGTATAATAACATTCCTCGCGTCTCCAAAGACCAAACTGACGTCTTTATTGGGAGCAGACTTAGGAACCCTGGTAACCGTACTCGTCGAACTCGGCAAAGAGTTCGACATGCAACCTAACTTAACCATCTGCCCTCTGAGTTTCTCGCCGGATCATCTCAGCGGTTGGCGATTCCTATCCGGTAGTAGATTCATTCGCGAAGCAGCTGCCCTTGAGTTGTTAGGTCGCCTTTGGAGGCGCTCGGGCAGCTGTTAGCAAATCCCATCCCTCCTGGTTGAGCCTTTGCTCGCCCACCTGTCCCGGTGAAACTGGAGAGGCCTCCGGACCACCAGTAATCCCTCAAGCATAAAAAAATACCAAACTAATAATTGTATAGGACTCGTTGCAGATCCGTCGTATCATCCGATATATGAAGCTCAATAATACCAAACAAATGTAGGTATTCTCTATACGACACACAATTCAGATGATACAATTAAAAATGGATGTCATTCGGTTGCTTAGAACGCCCATTACACATGAGATCGCGATAATAATTAGCCTGCCAAAGGATCAGAGACGGCTACGACCAAAACAACCGTACGTGACGAGGGCAGGGTTACGTCACCCCTCGATAACAGAGCGACGACCACGTATATGGAGCTCGGCTACTGGCGCGGCGCGATCCTTCAGTACGCGACGCGACATCGGACAAAACGTACGCGGATTTCAAAATAACACAACACAACACGAAAGGAAAAAAATAAAAAAAAACAATCACCGGCACAATCATGGTGAGTTTTTAAACTTCTATTTTCAAATTCGTTATTTTTAATCCTCACAAAACTCACGAAAATTTATAAATTGTTTTAGAAAAAAAACAAAAAAAAATTATAAACGAATGTTCTATGTTTAGATTGTTTAGAAATTCGAGATTTCATGCAGTTTTTTTGCTTATATTTTTCTCGGCGAGTCTTTAAATTTAGTAGGTATGCGTTACTTTTAGAGATCATTTTAGTTTCGTAATAATTAAAGCCCGTTATTTGTTTAATTCTTAAACGAAGAAGAAATTCTCACGCTCAACAAAATTTAGCGTAATACACAAAAAAAAGAAATAGATTCGTCAATGTTGTGGGCAGTACATAACTGCATTTTATTTTTAAAAGCGGTCATCGGTAGCACGCGGGACACAGGAGTCAAACGCGACTTGGGAGCATAAAATAGCGGGTTTTTTTTCCTACCTGATAGCCTTGAGAGGCTATTTCAGCGTAACCTTAGCTAGTAGATGAGCTCACGGGGCTCAAACCGGAGTGATGCTAACACGAACCCTAGCAAGAGCAGTGCTTCGCAGAATATACCACCGGATCGGAAACGCGACCCACTGAGAAGATCCGGCTAGAAACTCAGTGGGCTGTGTCTATAGGTTAATTCGCTCGTCGAGCCCTTCGTCACAAGCGACGGGTTCGACGAGGACGGTGACCGGTGCTTGTGGTACCTAAAAGCACCGCTAATGGATCGGGAGGATCCGTAATTATGTGTGGCGGGTATGCGGTTGCACCCGTCTGTGTAGATTCTGATTGACGAAGTTCACGGTACAGCCTAGTCAAGGCCGAACTCCACTTTGGAGCATGAGATCAGCTGCACTGAGAACTAGAAGAAGAATAGAATATCAGAAACTAGACGTGTTTATTTATTATGTATACGATATTTTTAAATATGCCTCTTTAACCCTTTGACTGCCGTGTAGGTCACCGGTAGCCTATGCGGCGCACTGAAGTAATTATATTGATTTCTGCTACAAATTCTTTTTCTTTTTTTTTATTGCTTAGATGCGTGGACGAGCTCACAGCCCACCTGGTGTTAAGTGGTTACTGGAACCCATAGACATCCACAACGTAAATGCGCCACCCATCCTGAGATATAAGTTCTAAGGTCTCAAGTATAGTACAAGTATAGTAAAGTCATGATTAAACCGTAAAAGTATTATAGTTAAAATTAATGTTACGTGCCGATTTGAGAAAACATTGCAATCGTCGCACTCATAATGGAAAAAAACATTACATTTTTTCTCTCACAGACATCTACAAAGTAAACGCACAACCCACCTTGAGATATAAGTTCTAAGTTCTCAGTATAGTTACAACGGCTGCCCCACTCTTCAAACCGAAACGCATTACTGCTTCACGGCAGAAATAGGCAGGGTGGTGGTACCTACCCGGGCGGACTCACAAGAGGTCCTACCAGTAATTACGCAAATTATAATTTTGCGGGTTTGATTTTTATTACACGATGTTATTCCTTCACCGTGGAAGCCAATCGTGAACATTTATTGAGTACGTATTTCATTAGAAAAATTGGTACCCGCCTGAGATTCGAACACCGGTGCATCGCTCAACACGAATGCATCGGACGTCTTATCCTTTAGGCCACGACGACTATCAGTGGTCAGAACTGCCGCTGTCTTCTCGGCAGCATTTTGTTACTGTTCAATATTAGCGGTTACACTTAATGGCCCACGTCGTCCATCAGCTGGTACTAGGGCAGGTTCAAAGTCTCAATTGTTTTGGCAACGACAAAGTTTTATTACAACCACTTAGAAATCAACACGATTAGTCCATTATGATATTATCGGGCATTGTTATTACCATTATTAACACCCGTTATCTAAAATTGCTATGACTAAATTTGCTGTGAATAAATAGGTAATGATGATAGGGCTCATTGTTAAACCTTAGGGAAGGCACAAAAGACAATCTATCTTTTAATTATTTCATATATTCTTTTCTAATATCGAGACTCAATTTGCCTATATTAAAGGATTTTCAGGTCCTTACGGTGCTACGTCCTGATGGCACCACACAGCTTGTCATTTCGGATCCTCCCGATCCATTAACGGTGCTTTTAGGTACATCAAGCACCGGTCACCGTTCTCGTCGAATCCATCGCTTGCGACGAAGGGTTCGGCGAGTAAACTAACCCATAGACACAGTTCACTGAGTTTCTCGCCGAATCTTCTCAGTGGGTCGCGTTTCCGATCCGGTGGTAGATTCAGCGAAACGCTGCTCTTGCTAGGGCTAGTGTTAGCAACGTCCCCAGGTTTGACCCCGAAAGCTCACCTACTCGCTAGGTTACGCTGGCATAGCCTCTCAAGGCTACCTATCAGCTTAGGTAGGATTTTATCTCGCCATCCAGTGTATTAACTGTATGTCTGCACATGAAGCGTATCTTGTTTGTAGGGTTAGATGTCCATGGCCCCACAAATACTGAGACACGCAGTTCAATTTTGCGAGTAAGTTGGCATTCACGTTGACATCTAAGGGTATTGTGGGTTTCGTGTATTTGTCTACACAGAAAAAAATTATGTCAAATAGGCAAAAACGTCATTATAAAATTGAACAGAAAATTTTCAATAACATCTACCAAATTTTGAGTTTGCCACGTACTTCGAATAAGTTCTAGAATACTCTTTAACGCTCTCAAAAATTCACATTTCACAATTCGACATCAACATTTCAATTATGAAAATGAAACAATTAATCACAAAACCCACGAAGAAACGATGAAGTTTTCAAAAAAAAAACAACAAATATTTTCAATTTCGTATGAAATCACAAACACACACACGAAAAAACATCGCTTTAGTTTATAGCAAATGAATAAAGAGGAAAACAATAAAACAAAACAAAAATAGATTGCATGCGGTTATATTTAAATACGTAATAGTGTCGATGCATTGTATGCTGAATTAGAAAAAGCCAGGGTCAATAGTGACCTGTTACTTGAAATTCTCAGGCCGTGATCAATTGACTCAGGGCCCTAGATTCCTGTTCGCCGCTGCAAAGATACAAACATCACGGAAACCTTGTTCAACAGATATAGGTACTTCGAAAAAATGTAATGTTTTTTTCCATTATGAGTGCGACGATAGCAATGTTTTTCTCAAATCGGCACGTAGCATTAATTTTAACTATAATACTTTTTAACGGTTTAATCATGAGTTTACGCCTTGTACTATCTCTTGCAATTATTTCACGAGTAATGGTATGCTCACTTGTTCGCAATGCGAGAGAGAGAGAGAGAGAGATAGTATTATTTATTGTACACCAAAAAATAAATAAACAATGCGATACATTAAATACAAAAAAAGTACAATTGGCTGTCTTATCGATAAGAGCGATCTCTTCCAGACAACCATCAGGTGGACAAGAATCATTTGGAAACGAATTACGCGCGGTGTACCAATCCAATGAAATATATACATATGCATACACATAAACATACATACATATATATGTAAATATAGATACAAATACGCAACGTGATATAATGATAATAATAATTATTAAAAATGTGCACGAATGTTTAGAAGTACGATCGGCTATGCTAACCGAACCGGAAGTGGGCAGTCCACAAAGCGCGAAGATCGGACGTCCGATGGGGCAGAAATATCCTCAAGTGGAGACCATGTACTGGCAGTAACATCAGATGGATCGATGACCTAGTGAGAATCGCTGGATCACGTTGGATACCAGTGGCAACGGACCGACCGCACTGGAGGTCACTTGGAGACGCCTGTGTCCTGCTTGGACAGTGGACAGGCTGAGGTGATAGCCACACACGACACACCGTGACAATTAGAAACAGAGTTGAAGTGGGGACGCGACTGAAATCAGCTAAATAACTTCTACTAAAAGGAGCTTAATGTTAAAACTACTAGACTCTCCACAATATAGATTCGTAGAAGGAGCTCTTTGGAGACATTGCTCGAAAGGAGGGTCACAATCTTGAGCAGCTGATGGTGACGGAGAAGATAGAGGGCAAACGTCCCAGAGGATGCAGTCCCATGAGATGGTCGAACCAAATTCGGTCTTGTTTGGACATCAAGCTGCACGATGCCCTCCACGAGGCCAAGAATCGCAACATATGGACTACGATCGTACAAGAGAGAGTGATGCAGCTGGGGAGTCACTACCCTCAGTAATGAGGAGAACGACGCAAGGAGGAGGAAGATCTATACTAAAGTGTTATTCAAATCTAAATATTGTGCTAACTACAGTATTTTATCTAATTTTTTATATATTTTTTTGAGATTTGCGTTTTATTTTTTTTAATAGTATAACCTGTATATTGAAGTTTGATAGCTTGTTTGATCTTGACGATAAGAGCATTCCAGGTGTTAGATAAACTTTAAAAGTACTTCTAATTTCATCATATTTTAATCATATAATCATGTTTAATCATATAACTCATTATTTATGTAGGCTTGGTCAAATTAAAAACGAATACGTTTATTTTTTAGAAAGAAAATACATTTTGAATTAAATTTAAACAACAATAATTTAGATAGTTGATGTTCGTTTTTTTTTTTGGGGACATCCCTGTTTATTTGGGACACAAAAAGTATTTAATGTTCTCTCCTAGTTCACGTAAATGAGATCGCATATAAAACACCAGAGACGGTTCGGGGATTTTCCTGAAATAATTTATTTTTAAGCCAAAACAATAAGATCCATTAAATGTATTTATAGCACTGAAGAGCGCCAGTTTACTTTTGCTAGCCTTATAATCTACTCGCAAGGGTTTTCAAAGGTGGCGACGTAAGTTCTTCTCTAAATAATAACGCCAAAGGACAGACGTGCGTTCCAATTTTAAAGACAAGACGGCGTTATACACTACAATTGAGTCCTCGACCTCATATCTCAAGGTTGGGTGACGGCTTCACGTTATGATATCTATAGGCTTCAATAACCATTTAGCGCTAGGCGGGTCGTCGTGACCAACTTCAACCGATAAT